TATATATATATATATATATATATAAACTGTTAATGCAGGGAGATCACTCTATATACCAAAAAATCTTACAGATGTTACAGTCAAAAAACACTTGTTATATTATAAAAATATACGATGTTTTACATATATCTTCAGGAAATTCTAACAGCACACGAAAACCGCATGTAATTCAGACACTTGCTATTGTAAAATTGCAGTATACTATATGTCCAATGTGACTACTTCGACGGAAACGGTTAAAACTAGGTCTTGTTTTTATTCTGGCAGCAAATCATCTTTTTCTTTTTTGCTTGTTAGTATTTTTACTAAATAGTATGATTCGTGAAAATTGCCAGGTTTTCCAATTTCAATTTTTGATCAATCATTATATATATATATATATATATATATATATATATATATATATATATATATATATATAATGAGATCCAAACAATTAATCTCTTAAAGTTGATCGTTTCGTCCATAGGAATGTAGTTTTTCACTGGACTTATCAGTGCAAGTACATTTAACATTTAAATTGTTGGGATCTCATTAATTGTAATTCCCTTATATACTCTATAATTAAAATTATATTGAGCTCTTTTTTGTGTTTTAATATTTTATATTAATATTAATAGGATCTATTGGATTACTTACCCACGAACTTTTTAAAACAATATATATATATGTGTATGTGTGTGTGTGTGCGCGCGTGCGCGTGCGCGTTGGGGTAATTGAATGATGGAAAAGCAAAATAATCCTATGTGAAAAGTACTTCTTCAGAATACAGTCCTGAGTATGACAGTATACTGCATCCAGCGACAATACCCCCTGGTGGGGAGATTGGAGATTTTGTGGAACATGGAATCATCTCTTATTTGCTTTTGTTCCCAGGTCCACCCCTGACTCACGGTGGTATCACGTGTTAGGCTCCCAGCTCTCAGTAAATACTGAACACCTAAACAAAAGACTATGAAAATATTTTAAAAAAATACATTTTCATAGTAAAAATAACAGCAATACATTTTTATATAAAAAAATTACGAACATTACATATTTATGGCAAATTGACTTGCAATACATTTTATCTTTATTTGAAGGTATACAATTGCGTTCAACCACAGAGTTTGGCATTAAATAACCTTATATATATATATATATATATATATATATATATATATATATATATATATATAGATAGATAGATAGATAGATATATTTGTCGGAAGAGTGTTCAGTGTTGGAGGTAGAGCGTTTTTAGATAAATGCAGTGGGTAGTAATCAACACTACATGTTAACTGTCAGTTTCATCCTCTACGCAGTTTTCAGACCATAGACCGAAAGTGATAGCCACTATGCAGTGTTCATCTATCTATCTATCTATCTATCTATCTATCTATCTATCTATGTATCTAATGCAGTCTTCTCATATCTATCTATCTATCTATCTATCTATCTATCTATCTATCTATCTATCTATCTATGTATCTACTCATAAACATTTTTGCTTGGAGAAGCTTCTATGCGAGTGTAAGTGTAACTAACTACTACTACCATCGTGACGTCGATTGGAATTACATTCTCGATTTGTATAGCCTTACACCCTAGGGCCTTCACGAAAGGAATTGTAAATATGATTTGTCGTTTAACAGTTACTTATATGTTTTTTGTTGCCACTGATTAGTGTTCGATATCTCAGGAAAGAGACTAATTTTTGACAATTAATTTTAAAGGCCATCCGGCCAACTTCACATTAAGAACTGTCACAATAAAATATTCTCTTTACCATCCGGTTTTCCACCATTTCTTCTACTTCCCTGTACTATTTTCCTTCATGACACTTTGCCGATCATGTCTCTCCATATTTTTCTCTCCATTGTATCTCTTAATAAATTTTGTCTTTTCTAAACCTTTTACTCTGCCAATCATTTACTCAAGCTCACTAAGTAGGTTATGCATTGTTTTCCTCTCCCTCTTGCCCTCAATCTGTCCTGTGAATATTAGATTTTCCAAGCCGTCTTTCCTCGTTGTATGTAGGAAAAATTTCAACTGCCATTTTTTGATGCTATGTATTAGTGCTATTTTCTCTAAAACTTCGTCGTTGCTCATATGTCTGATCCATTGTATTCTAAGCATCCTTCTGTAGAACCGCATTTCTGTTGCTTCAATTCTCTTCTTCATCTGTAAGAGATTGTCCAGTATTCACAGCCATATAAGAGAACTGATATAACATAACATTTCAGTACACTTTTCTTTGTTTCTGTTGCTTCAATTCCCTTCTTCATCTGGGAGAAATTGTCCAGTATTCACTGCCATATAGCCCCTCTGAAAGTTCTCCACTGCCTTAACCGGGTATTGAACTTACACTCTTTGGGTCCTGTCACTGGATCTAAGTAATGCCTTTATCCACTGTGCCATGTGCCTGTTAAGGCAATGAACCACTGATATAACTGATAATTGACATCCATTAAACATGGCACGTGAAAATAGAAAAGTCTACCCCAGTGAGCGAAATAAA